CAAAAAATGATGGCCGCGTTGAAAGAAGTAAAATAAATGGTGCACGTGGTAACAATAAACAGTAAAATATTCTCGAAATGCCGGTTGATAGCACAAACTAGACTAGAAGAGAAACACGCTAATGTGACAATCAAAATCGTAAAAAACAACCTTATATTTAGCGTAGGTATAATGAAACACTCAATCGATTTCGAGGGCAGCTAAAGGTCCCTCCTCATCAGGAGAAAGAAATACATAGAAAGAAGAAAATAGGAATCACAGAAACACGTGGTGCTTATCAGCACTGCACGTGGTTATAACTAGATTTTTAATCAGAGTTGCACGATTTTGACTTTCGTTGCTTCTTTCCACGTGGCTATTGGTTTTCAGTATTGGATGTTTCTCTCCTTTTGGAATGTTTTTGTCATTTGTTGATGAAAATTGTCTTCATTATTTATTGGTGTTTTTTTCATGTTATAAGTAATTACTTGTTTGGACTTTCGGAATTACATTTCTTTTGTTCACTTGTTTCTTGCTTGTGCCTTTTTCACAATATGTCCACTGACAGGAACCGATTTTGTAAGTTACGCCTTAAGCGTACGAAATTCTTGAATCATCTACAGTTTCTACTTAAATGCAAACATCAAAATTTCATTCCCAAATTTATACATGTGAAATGCAGCCTTCAAGCTTCCGTTCACGTTTCAAAAATTTTGCATAAATTCAAATTGGCACTTCTTCGTCACATTATAAGGGACACACGCAAACGTTTATCTAAAAATTGAATTTGAATTATATTACCTCCATTTAAAAAATTGCTAATTCCACTGAAAAGGTTTCCTCATTTGAACATACATCCTGGTCTAGAACCGATACCGTTTGTCAACGGCATAAAAATGTGCTCATTTCTAAATTCCCAAAAACTCACACACCAGTCGGATAGTCCCAATTATCTAGCTGATCTTCCCACTGTAAACGTTAACTCCATCGTTAATATCTCCAATAGGAATCTTTCGGAGGATCAGTTAAAAGTATTAAAATATAATTTCAACTTTTCAAAGACATCTAAACCTTCAATTCCTCAAATCATCGCCCCTATAGAGAAAGCCTTTAAATTCTCCAAAATTTCGGAAACGCAGAAGGATACAATCCGCCACCTTATTACTCATAACGTTAATTTTAACAATAAATCTTTGGGTTCTAATCTCAGCAAAAAGGAAATTGAGATCTTACGTGAAATTCATTCTGATACTAATATCATTATCTCTAAAGCTGATAAGGGCGGACAGATCGTTGTTATGGACAAACGCACATATATTACTGGAGTCTCTAAATTGATAAATGAAGGCCCATACTGCTCAATCCCTAAAGATCCTTCAACTTCGGACCTCATGAAAGTAAAAAGTGCTATTAAATCTTCCCACATTCTGCCAACTCAATTGAAGAAATCACTTATTCCGCCTATTACTAATTGCGCTAGACTTTATGCTCTTCCAAAAGTCCACAAAACCGGTATTCCTTTTCGACCAATTGTTTCCAACATAGGTACTGCTTCATATCCTTTGGCCAAATATTTAGTTTCCAGATTTTCTCCTCTACTTGATAACAATATTCACACTGTAAAAAATTCTGTTAAAGTCATTGATAAACTTAAAAATATTTTCCAACTTCGTTCCATTATGGTTTCATTTGATGTCAAATCATTGTTTACTAATGTTCCGGTCGAAGGAGAAATAAATTGTCTTGAAACTAGGCTTCGGGAATTTCACTTCACACATACTGAAATTAATGAGTTGGTTTCGCTTACTAAAGTTTCTCTAAGTCAAACCCACTTTGTTTTCCAAAATGCATATTTTCGTCAAGTTGAAGGATTGGCTATGGGTAATCCTCTCAGTCCGGTACTTGCTGACATTTATATGCACTATTTTGAGATGAAATTATTTGATAAATTATCTTTTCGTCTTTGGATTCGGCATGTTGAAGACACTTTCGCACTTTTTGACGGTTATAAAGAGGATTTATCCGAGATTCTATCTATTATGAATTCAATTGATCCAGCCATCCAATTCACTCTTGAAATTGAATCCAACAATTCCCTCCCCTTCCTCGATATTCTTATAATCCGCAATGAAACCGATTTTAGCACCACTGTGTACCGTAAACCCTTTGAAGTTTGTTTACCACCCCATGCCAAGTCATGCCACCCTGTTAAGCAAAAAATGGCTTCTTTGTACTATTATGTTTTCCGCGCGCTAAAAGTTTGTTCCTCCGAATCTTTGCTTACCAATGAACTTAATTATTTGAGAGCAGTTGCGATTGACCGTGGATTTTCTCCCGTGATTATTGATATAAAGCCGTCAAAAAATTTTCAGATTCACATCAAAGAAGACATTCCACTGTTAGAAATAATATCAATGACCTTGTAGTGCTTCCATTTTATCCTTCTGTTAGCTATAAAATTGCACGGATTCTCCAGAATTTCAATTTTCAAGTCGGTTTCTCCCCTATTAATAAAATTCACCCTTCGATTCTAAAAGATTGCGTTTCTGTCTTGAATTCTTGGGGAATTTATAGTATATCATGTCAGTGTGGTTTAAGATATATTGGCCAAACAAAAAGAGCGTTGAAGTTTCGTATCAAGGAACATGAATCTTATGTCAAAAAGGGGAAATTAACAAGTCTTCAATAGCGTATCATAGCTGGACTTTAACCATAATTTTGATTTTGGGTCTGCAAAAATCATCCAAAAGGCTTCTTCCATAGGCGAATTGGATTTTCTTGAGGCTTTTCACATTCACAAAGATTTAGAAAGTTTAGTTAATGATTTGAAGTCCAATCCAGTCCTTCCTAATGCCTTTAAAATTCTACTGTCTTAATTAAAATTATTTTTGCCGATAGATGGCGTTACCTCCTCGCACTTGGTACTACCAGAGGGTATAAAAATCCGTCCAGTGGTTGCTTTCCATTATTTGAAGTTCAGATTTTGAGCGTAATGTGCATTTGCCTCTCGCTCCCTATTTTAACTTCGCTAATATTTCTTTATGCTTGATCAGACAGCCTGGCTCAGTAAAAGTAGGCGGCCAGTGCAACTCTGATTAAAAATCTAGTTATAACCACGTGCAGTGCTGATAAGCACCACGTGTTTCTGTGATTCCTATTTTCTTCTTTCTATGTATTTCTTTCTCCTGATGAGAAGGGACCTTTAGCTGCCCTCGAAATCGATTGAGTGTTTCATTATACCTACGCTAAATATAAGGTTGTTTTTTACGATTTTGATTGTCACATTAGCGTGTTACTCTTCTAGTCTAAAATTTTTAATGTTTCTCGGTAAGTGATACTGAAGAATTTCAGTCGCAAGAATGCTGTTCGGTGTAATGCTCTGTAACGAAGAATAAAACTGTGTGAACGTACTACAGATAACTGTTGCACATTACTATCAGTAAAATGCAGTCACGTTTTATGCAGCCATGATTCAGCAGTATTCACTATTAAGTAGCAGCAGTTCAGCGCTATTTACTATTAGCAGATCGAGAGATAATATTTTGTTACTTACATCAAGGTCTATACTTAAGGTATCGCCTGTATCATAGCAAGATGAAAAGTTTAACAAAATGAACTATAAGAAATCATCCTGTTTAAACAAATTAAGATTCTATACAGGACTCAAATACTTAAACGTAGTTTGTAGCTCAATTTCATCAGCCTAAGGTTGCTATTGCCAAATTACAGTCTCTATCAACAAAAAGGTCTAGATTTATTTAAACTGTAAAGCTCCATTATTTTAGTCTAACCAGTTACCATAATTTAAATTTTTATTGTCACTTCTTCTTTCCCTTTTTCTATCAGAATGCAAATCAGGTTTAAGAGTATTTAATGTAAGGTATCTGGATTGTAAGACAGAGCATGTTTCTTCCTCTTGTGGACACGTTATAAAATATTATATTAACTGTCAAGAATTGCAAGATATCTTGGTTAAAAAAAACTAATTCAAATTACACATAACATAAATGAACATTACGAATCAGATTTTTAAAACTGCCAAGTTTATTCACGTCTAACACACATTCAACTGGCTCTGCCAGATCCAAGAACAAGAAGATCATCATCATGAAAGATTTACGCCCTCTTTGGCGATTAAAATATATTTCCACATAAAATTTCTTACACACGTTACTAGGTTTCACTAGCAATGTAATGTTCAGGTTTGGATTATAATTGCCAACATTTAAATTTTTACGCCGGTGAGGATTGAAGCCAACATAGCGTTAAATAAATTGTGTAATCTTCGACAACTAGATTTTGTTTCAGTTGAAATTTGACTGCTACTTTTGAGTAATCTTGCCACAAATGGCTGGCTGACTTTGTTCATCAAGAGATGTGCATTTTATATTCAAGGTTCTAATTTAATAAAAAAAAAGTTTATTTTGTAACTTCCTCAAGTTTTGTCATTATATTAAGAGCAGGCCAATTCTCTCCAAGTCTGTTAGGAGTTTAGATACAGGTTTATGCTACAAAAGAACACCAATCTCTATAAATTTATGCAAAACACACGAGAGCTGTTTGTCTATTCTTTAAAACAGGGATGCAGAAAGCAAATGTATTTGTGTTTTACTAATCATTCCGAATCTCACGAGGACTTTCCTATTTACTTACTGACTTTAAATCCCTGATTTCGCAAAGATACTACAGTTACAAAAACTAAGGGTTACTAGAGGTTTTTACCATTAGAGATTATTTTCATATTAACATGATGAGATAAGCAAGTTATAAAAATTATATAATTTCTTAATTACATCGTTATTAAAATTATATTATGTAATTTACAGCTATATCATATAAACGTGCATTAGCTGTACTTGAAGTTTCATAGAAAGTGATTATTTCTGCAGCGTAATTTTGATACATATTTCCAAAATAGTCTTAGTACGTAACGAATAATAGCTATTTAATTCATTCATAGAAACTTTAAAATTTCATATTTTGCTAAAACGTGAATGAAGCAAGTAGTTTCTTAAATTCCCTTATCTTTTTATCTTCTTACAGATTGCAGCTGTTTCCAGCGTCTGTCAGCTTCTTTATCATCTTAAAGTTTCATTAATTAATGCGGTAAAAATGAACATTCCATCAATCTTCATCTTTCACTTTGGCGATTCGAAAAGAACAGGAGAAATTTTCACTTCCACATTTGCGTGCTTAAAGGAAACCTACATAGCTTGAGAACACAAAATATGGCCCAAAGTAAGTAAATTCTTTTCTGCACGCTCCTCACAATTAATTTTGATATATTTTAGGAAATAAGTAACACAATTAAATGAAATATCTACCAAAGCACTTAAAATATTTAACCAATGCTTTTTAATAGCATTATTAACATGTATTGTTTAAATATTATAAATGCCTGGGTTGATTAACATTATCTAAATTATAATGAATACTTTCTCCTTTGCTGATTGATAAAAAAGAGCAGAAGTTCGAAAGAGTAAATTTAAGACTTCTTTCAGTGTTATGTATCCTATAAAGGGAAAGTAATACAATTTTTAAATAGACATTTTTGTTCACAGAAGTAATCCTGACTCAGGAAAGTTGCAAAAAATTACAGTAAAAGAAGAATCACGAGTGAAGAAATATTATGTTGGTTACTGTGCATAAAAAGCCAGTAATAAAGTTAGAGCGAAAGATTGGGTGAAATACTAATAATCGCAGTATTATGTTAAACAGAATCTGATATCTTAAACTTTTATTTATTATTAAAACTTATTCTAAACATTTATTTATTAAAATTTTATTTCACACATTATAACTCACATCTTTTAATTCTGAATCGATTGACTTTAAACCTATAAAGGTATCTCAAGTAAAACCGAAGATGATGTAGGCAAACACTTCGTACAAGCCTTATCAAAAATATTTGAGGAATTCTTCAGAAAAAGTGCTTTCAAAATCCCGGTCCATAAGTGTTTATTGTCCTCCTAATCAACCATACAAATAAAAGTTTATAAACTGTGTTGAGTCAAGTAATCGACTTTGCTGTTTAACGATCTGCTGTTGCGCGCGACTTATTCGATGATTTATAATATTCTTCGGGTGTTAAGAAAATTTCGCTTTACCGCTCTGTCTGGGCTATTTATAGCTATCTATCCTGTTTGTAAAATTTATTATTTTATTAATAAATTACAAGTCTTGCTATTCATTTGCCTTTAGTTATTTACAGGAAAATTTGTAAACAACTGTTGAACAATTTAGGAACTCTATAAATGCCTACTACGAGAAAGATGAAAATGCCGCTCAAAATACATAGGAAGTAACATTAATTGCTGCGAAAATGAAAGAGGAGCTTTCCTGAGTAGAAAAATTCCACCAAAGTGAATGTTGAATGGCTGTTATATTCTGTAACTTCCGCTTTTTTTTTGGAGTTGAAGAACGAAATGAAAAAAAGAAGTTAATGAAAACAAGAGAGGCTACGGAGAATAAAAGGAAGATGTTCTGCGCGGAATAAAAATGAATAACCGCTATGTAAAAAAACTGAAAAGAGTTACAGAATGTACCAACTCCTGCGAGTCAGAAAATTGCTTCTGTGAATAACTAAATTTATCAGTTACCACGAGACTGAACAAAGAGATTCAAGATGCTTTCAATGCCGGTTCAGTCTTTTAACAATACCTCGATTCAGTCTGTAACTAACATCCCAGCTCACTTCCTATAAACAAAATCTCGGCTTAGTTATCTCGTCCCATTATCACATTCTCGATAGATAAGGGAAAACCATTATCAAATTTACAAAACATACAATAAGAAATTAGGCCCTTTCGAGGGCGAGCTATTGGAATTCCATTTCCAAGGCCTTACATCTACCGCCACTTTATCAAACGCCGACATATTACAATGCCAATGCTTCCGGCCAAAAGGCGATCAGATGTCAATGTCTTAGTAAAAACATCACTTTTACTGTTTGGAGAGACCAAAACCTTATCTCCAACTGCAAACAGAACGTAAAATATATTCTTCCAGAACTGGCAAGAGACATTTAAGTATTGACTGAGCTAGCATTAAAATGGATTGTTGTAGTAAAATTTAAAACACATTATTATTGGTCCAAAGGGGCTTTGTCCCTGAAGGACTATTGTTTCCGTTTTGCGATTTTGCGTTGAAAACTTTAAAAGGCTGTATCACTTTTCAAATCGTTGCCACCAAATACTATTGCCCTGTATTATATTTGAAGAAATTAAATAATGAATAATCTGCATAAATATATGTTTGTTTCTCGCATTGTGATAAATCAACGGTATTGTTGATTTTTCCGCTAAATCCTATGTGATATATCTGACTTCGAATCTAAAATTTTCTGAAGAACACAAAAACCTTGTCTAAAACTTAAAGGTTTATTTAACTGGAACTTCAACACTGATGAAAACTTAACATCATAAAAGAAAACTTAACATCTTGGGTGGAAAACATTCAAAGTGCTTTAAAGTAACAGCTATGCCGGCACGGTGAAGAACACTTTCCCTTAAAAGACAGAATCCATCTAGCCCTTTCGGCATATATCTCCATTCGCTGGATTCAGACTTCCGCTTCTACGTGTTTTGGACTTAAACGGCCAGACTTGAACTGGAATAGGACTGGATCAGGACCGGAACAGGACTGGAACAAGACGGGAACCGGAACAGGACTGGATCCGCAACAAGACGGGAACCGGAACAGGGCGGGAACCGGAATCTCTCATCCCCTGGCTTCTCCCCCGGGCAGGTCTATTCTGGCTCGAACTAAAATGAACTGCGGTGCCACTAAGGAAAGCACCTCCTTTTATTGCCAGCGGTTGCCGTTACTACAGGCGATTATGCAAATATTTAACAGGTATCTAGAGCTATTCAAATTTGAATGACGTAATCCTACTGCGAATACGGCCATCTGAAAGTCCAAATTTGAAATTTGGAATTTGTTTTATTATCGATTTCATATTTTGTAAACCTTTAACGAATTTTTGATTAATAAACTCAACGATTTAAAAGCGATCAATGTCAACACTCTACGGGGAAAAAAACGTTTTATCTCCAGCGCGCGGAACTGTGTATCGGAAATTCTAAAGATATGTTCATTCAAAAATTATTTTTGCGACATTGCTGTTAAGGTGAATTTTATGGTTTAAGTGGCCAAGAACATGGTATTTAATAAATAAAGGTAACACACCAAACGTTAAAAAACGCCCCTTTGGAAGTAATTTAAAATATGAAACCTTTCAGATTTTTTATTTATTTATTTATTTATTTTTACCTGTCGACGCTATCATGATATACAAAACGACACTATTGAATAATTTATTTTATTTGACAATGAAACTTTGTTATACTGAATAATAAATCTTTGAAAGGTGCTCTTATAAAAGCAACCATGAAAGTAAACATTGCGTAAAAAGTAAGCAGAAAATATAAGGTCTGTCATTTGATCGAAAGAGGCAGTACTTTAAATTGCTACAGAGCTATTAAACAAAACTATGATTGGAAAACTGAGACCATGAGTTCGGCCACATTCGGCTATCGGGGGATGCGTACAAGTTCTGAGTGCACGTGTCCCCTAAAAGCCGAAGGTAGCTGAACGCAAGCTACTCACACGCATTTGTAATTTAAGTAGTGTGTATGTCTTCTCGTTGTGAGTAATCTAACAACACTGAATAAATTATCGTTAATTACTTAGCAGTAAACATTTCATTTTTTTCTTCGTCCATATGTTATTTTATTATTATATATTATTATTTGCCGATATATTGGCCGGGTAGCAAAAATATTTTTTGTGGGCCGCGAGTTTGACATCCTTGCTTTACATCAATGGTAGACATATTTTGCATAGTAGAAACATAAGATTTGCTAGAAAGCTTTTATTGAACAGTATTGGATCATTTATCACAAATTAGTTTTCGGAATCAGCATCGACTGAAACAAAAAGTCTTTGTTCTTGTTAGTATATATTGAAACAGTTCATGAAAGCATTCGAATTTCGCCATCACACAAAGTTTTTAGTTATGATCTTCATCTGCTATATGGCATGTTCTTCAAATGGCCAGCTGCCACGCCTTCTTCGATTACGTGAAACAACGTCAGGTACGTCTAGAAGAAGGTCATCGTTTCACAGCAGGATAAGACATTTCTTTGATTTGGAAAATGAAGAACATAAACGACTACAAATCGATGAAGTGGAGTTCAAAGAAGATAATCAAGTCATATTGTAGAACATATTGTGACGTCAGAAGATCTCATCCATCCCTGACGAGGTTCTGTAAGGAATACTTTTACATGCCACAAGAAAACACTTGACCTTGTGGTGGTATGTAAAAAAATAAAATTTAAATACCACTCATTTCTTACTCTAAAGTATGGCACTGCAACTGGCTTGCTTCATTATGGTAATAAGAGTTAAACCTGCCTTTTTTGGGGCATACTATACTACCCTGGATGAGAAGGTGATACTGTAAATTTCTGTAAAAATTCCAATTAATTTGTATATAATTTGGTTTCTAAACATTTTATGAAGATGAATAGCATTTTTATTTTATTAATTAATTAATTAATTAACATACTTCTGTATGATAATTACGTATTTATGTATCATGTATTTTGTTACATTCTATATTTCTAGATTTTTTCTATTCTATTATTCTAGATTTTTTTCTTGACGTCTGAACGTACATATGTATATACATATATGTATATATGTATATATATACATATGTATATATATACATATGTACGTCTGTTCTTCGTTGCAATCGTCTGCACCAATCATATATAATATATATATAAAGTAAGAAATTTTCAACTAATATTTCACAAAGACCATTTTGTTTTTAAAAAAATTGTTTTGTAATTATATATATATATATATTACTCCGTTACCAGGCTCGGCGAGCTTAGATTTTTTATTCTCATATGTTGGTAAATTTCGCACGTTTATGCTTTAAAAGTGATTGAATTATGTGGTTTTTATGCTCCGATTAAGGCTTTTATGCCTTTAATTAATCTGCATTGAATAATTGTAGAATTATCAAAAGTTTAAAATTTTAAGTGGCGAGTTAAGCCTAATGTACCGACATTTGTTTACGTTTGAAACTCAGTAGAATAGTGAACTAAGTCAGTTTCTGCGCCTTCAAAGTCTTTTTGCCGAAGGGGATCAAAAGTAAACTTTCAGTTTTGTGCACCCAAAAATCTGCCTTCTTGCCCGCTGGCCAAATTGCTTGTTTTTGAGTA